CAACGAGAGCTAATGTCGGGGAGGAATAAAGTTTCCTCTACCCTTCTAGGTTCTTTTGGCTAGTCTAACAATTAAATCTATGTGGGACAGATTAACAAGAGAAAATAACCACATTTAATTACATACATATGTACAGGAACTCCACATACACATGAAAGGTTCAGAGATAGACGGTAAAATACATGACATCCTAAGCTAAGGAATGAGGTAAGACCTCTGGGCTTTTATTTATTTATTTATTTATCCTCACCTGAGGACATTTTTCTATTTTTTGTTCAGGTCGAGTGGGAGGGGGAGAGAGGAAGAGAGAGAGAAACATCGATGTGAAAGGGACACATCGAGTGGCTGCCACCTGCACGACCAACCAGGGCCGGGGACAAACTGCAACCGAGGCACATGCCCTTAGCGGGAACCGAACCCGGGTCTCTCCGGACCGCAGGCCGAGGCTCTAACCGCTGAGCCAAACCGGCCAGGGCAGACCTCTGGGCTTTTAAAACAGCTCTAGAGCCCTGGCCAGTTTGGCACTCGATGTGTCCCTTCACGTCGATGTTTCTCACTCTCTCTCCCTTCCTCTCTCTCCCTCCCACTCTATCTGTACAAAAAATGGAAAAAATATCCTCGGGTGAGGATAAAAACAAAAACAAAAACAAAAAAAAACAGCTCTAGAAAGGGATTTAATTCACAGATTGATAAGAAGAGCAGATGTTCAGTGGTTAATTTGCCCTAACCTCTAAATAGGTCATAAGAAGTTATTTTTGTTAATAACTCTTGTTAAGGACAAGGCCCACAATTCAAGATTTAATTGAGAGGTAAAAGTTTCTCTTCAGCCTGCAAAGTCTTGATTACCTTCAGTTGAAAATAATCCCCATACCACAGAGACATATCTTGGAGCAACTCATTATGAACCCCCGCCCCCGCCTCAATGTTTGTGGAATGCCGGGCAGTATTCTAAATGCTTTAAATGTATAAACTCATTTAATCCTCAAAAACACCCTTTTAAATAGGCACTATTATTCCTATTTTACACTGAGGCAATAGATGTGCAGCAGTTAAAACAATAGGTTTAACTATGTTCTTATAACTCAGAGGGGAAGAGGAATAGCTAGGTGATCCTGCCCCGATAGAAAAGAAAAAACCGTAAAAAAAATAAAATAAAAAATAAAAAATAAAAATAAAAAAAAGAAAAAAAAAAGAAAGAAAAGAAAAAACCGTCACTTCACAGGCATTATGATCCCGGTGCAATTAGAACTAAATGTTCCATTTATGTGTAACCACCTATAGCATTTTGTGTTTAGAACAAAATTTTCTTACCCTTAAGTCTGTATTATAGGTAGCATATTTACTTACTTAGGAATCTGTAGGTTGCCTCTACAGAAGAGGAGTGTTCCTATAACAGAGAAAGTCAGACCTCCCCTTTGATGTCTGCCACTAGTAAGTGGAGTGACACCAGACACTAAAGCAGCTGTTCTCAACCTGTGGGTCACCTAAGACATAACAGTAGCCAAATGACAATTATGAAATAGCAACGAAAATAATTTTATGGTTGGGGGTCACCACAACATGAGGAACTGTATTAAAGGGTTGCGGCATTAGGAAGGTTGAGAACTACAAAGTATATTAAACTTTAAGGCTCATTCTTTGTCATCGATAAATGAGAGGAAAGATATCTACCTGTCAGAGTTGTTATGAGAAGACAATATTGGTAATGAAAACACAAACAATAATACTAAATATATGGTGCTTACTATGTGCCAGTTGCTGTCATATAACACTCACAACAAATCTATGAGATAGGCACTATTTTTATTATACCCAGATATATTTTAGAAAAAAAATGTTTGCTGTAGAAAAAGGAAAAACTCTCTGGGAGATTAAATAAAGTGAACAAGTTTTGGCAGGTGATAGGTAGACAAAAGAACCTGTGTAAATGGAGTCTAGGAGTCATTCACTAATTACATCTTATCTTTAAGACAACATAATCACCCATAAATGCAGTAAACAAATTTACACCACCAGCCCTGGACGGTTTGGCTTAGTGGATAGAGCACTGGCCCCCGGACCAAAGTCTCAGGTTCGATTCCCAGTCAAGTGTAAGTACCTCGGTTGCTGGTATGATCCCTGGCCCTTGGCCCTCATCAGGGTTGTGCAGGAGGCAACCAATCAAAGTATCTCTCTCACATGGATGTTTCTCTCTCTCTATCCCTCCTTCTCACTCTATCTTCTTCTTTTTTTTATCTTCACCCGAGGACATTTTTCCATTTTTTATTCAGACAGAGTGGGAGGGAGAGAGAGAGAGAGAGAGAGAAACATTGATGTGAAAGGGACACATCGACTGGCTGCCACCCGCATGACCCAACAAGGGCCGAAGACAAACTGCTACCAAAGTACATGCCCTTAGTGGGAACCGAACCCAGGTCTTTCTGGACCGTAGGCTGACGCTCTAACTGCTGAGCCAAACCAGCCAGGGAGATTTTTAACTTTCTTTATAAAACATGTCTAGCAAGAAAATTCATTTTTAACTCATAAGAGAGCATGGATACTGTATACTGCAGGTAACAAGTCCTTTTCTGTATGACTATATGTATGAATTTGCCATTACTCAAGATTGCAATTCTTCTTTCAGGTTACTGCTGGAAAATAGTAGACTGTATAAGAATTAAGAAATACGTAAATGTGTTTGTTTTATTCATTTCCAGATCATCTATGTGCTAATAATGCTTCTTCTCAAATGTATTTATTTCCTACTTTATTCTATTTTTCTTTCCATGTTTAGGCATTTTCATTTTTTTTTGTTACAGATGCTTCTCCTTTTTCCCCCCACTGACACCCTCCTCCTGTTCCCACCCCACCCCAGCACTGTTGTCTACGTCCATTGGTTACGCTTATATGCATAAGTTCTTTGGTTTATCTCTTCCCTCCACCCTGCCCCCTCCTCTGAAGTTTGTCAGTCTGAAACCTACTTCTATGTCTCTGTGTCTATTTTTTTCATCATCTTATTTTGTTCATATTCCACAAATAAGTGAGATCATGTGATATTTGTCTTTCTCTGATTGGCTTATTTTGCTTAGCATTATACTCTCCAGGTTCCTCCATGTTGTCATGTTGTCTCAAAGGATAAGAGATCTTTCTTTCTTACAGCTGCATAGTATTCCATTGTGTTCCTAGTGTATCTTAAAAAAAAAAAAAATCAGTGGAAAGATATCCTTGCCCTGGCTGGTTTGGCTCAGCAGTTAGAGCGTCAGCCTGTGGTCCAGAGAGACCCGGGTTCAGTTCCCGCTAAGGGCATGTACCTCAGTTACAGTTTGTCCCCGGCCTTGGTTGGGTCCTGTGGGTGGCAACCACTCGATGTGTCCCTTTCATGTCAATGTTTCTTTCTCTCTCTCTCTCTCCCTCCCTCCCACTCTATCTGAACAAAAAATGTCCTCGGGTGAGGATTAAAAAAAAAAAAAAAAAAAAAAATCCTGAGTGAAGATTAAAAAAACCCAAAATCTCTCTCTCTCACCACCAATTTAATGAAGGAGTGCCACCTGCTGGAATTTCCTGAAGTAATATAGTTTGTGACCCATTTGAAAGAAGTAATCCATTCTGAAAATCAATAAAACACATTTTGGTTTATGGAGATTAACAAGGTTAAACTTCAACAAAGTAAAACAACAAACATAAAATTACCCCACAAAAGAATTTTAATACAGAAATATCAAACCTGGATTCTACTACTGTCAACTTATTATTCCTGGCATACATAGGAGCTCAAAAAATGTTTGTTGAATGAACTGTAACACAAAGAACTGCTACTAAGTTATCTTAAAATCCTGCAATCATCATCTTATTTAGAACCAAAGCAAGCAGGCTGGTGTAGGCAAAGGTGGAGAAAATATATCTACACATTTGAATGTATGTCCACGCAGTGCAATAGCAATGCTATCATCAAGATTACCTGGAGTTCAGCCTCTAATCCGCTCTCCTCATTGTCCATCCTTTCTCAGTCCAGCTCTTAACCAGCCTCCACTCTGACTATTTTCTACACCCACATGGGGTTCCAGATCGGCCTATATTCTTAGTGTTCCAACAACACTGCCTTCTGGGTTTTGCAAAAATATTTCCCCCACCAATCAAGAGCTCTACCCTCCTCTGAAAAATCTACCTGTCCTTAGAGTTATACTTCTTGACTTTTTCCAGCAATGAAGATCCACAGTAATTACTGTCTTTCCTGCTGTACTTACTATCTGTATCACTTACATCAGCTTTTTCAACTGGACTGGGAGTTCCTTGAGAGTAGGGAGTTCCCATAGCTCTTTCTCTCTCTAAAGGTAAGCAATGTTGTGGGGATTTATTCATTCATCCAATGCTACTGTTTGGCTCTGTTCTAGACTCTAGATTTTAAAAATTCCACTTATGTGAAACTTGTATTGGAGAAGTCAATCAACCCATAAATGCATGAAGTTCTTTAATGGAGAGTGCTTTGAACAGAAGAAAAACAAAAACCGTGGGTGACGGGGATAGAGCGAGGTGGTGGGTCCTATTTTAAACAGGAAGGTCAGGGGAATCCTCCGAGGCGACTAGGAGCTGCTGGCAGCCCCTAAGTACTGTATGTGCTGCATTCAAATGAATTAAGTCTCGGTGCCACAGGTGGTACAAGACAAAGAAGTAGAACCCAGCATCGCAGCACCAGGTTCCTGTGCTCTGGCTCTGCAGCGTCTGTTGTCTCCTTCGGTTGGGAGCCTATCAAACGCAATGAAAGTGCTACAACTGTACACCTCTGCAGTGCAGGTACACGAGCACGGGATTTCTACTCGATTCACCACTTAAAACAAGGCCTGTGGAACGAGCGACTGGTGCCCGGCGCCGGCGGAGGGGCGTGACGGCAGGCAGGTCATTCAGAGACCGCTGGGTTCGAGTGTCTCGAGGGAACCCGGGGCCCGGCGGCCAAGTCCCGGCTCTGACGCTTCGTTTCCAGGACGCCAGCAGCCCGGGACTAACCGCGCGCCCGCCGCACTCACCAATGGGCTTGTCCAACCGCATGAGGCGCAGGTAGGGCTGCAGAGGGCGGGGCGCCGAGTCCACGACCGCCGCGGCCGACAGGCTGAGGCGACGCCAGCGCGGCCCCCGCCCGGCGGAGGGCGGCCGGTCCCCCGTTCGGAGCGTGCCGGCCGCGCGCGCCAGGGCCAGGGGGCGGCCGCGCGCGCCCCGCAGCCACGCCTGCGTCACGGCCCGCCGGCCCCACGCGAGCCCCGCAGCGCCGGCGCCCAACATGGTGCGGGGAAGCGCGGGCCGCACAGGCCGACGTCATCCCCGGGCGCCGGGTCTCCGTAGGCATGCGCAGTGACGTTAGCCAGAGGCCTGTCCGCCTCTCCGCGGTCTGGCCCGCAGCCTCTTGAAGAGCGTGAAAAAGGGATGGTCGTGGGCTGTCTACCTGGGCAGGCGCTCCCCTAGGTACTCGGCGTAGAAGGAATTCCTGTTATGGGCTTTCTCAGTAAATAAGAAAGGAGAGCGTTGACTCGTTCGGGACGGTTATGCAGGAAAAAAACAACAACACGCGAAAAATCTACTGAACCCCAAATGTTGATTTTTAAGGCAGGTGGTTTGTTTGAAGCTAAAAGGGTACCTAGCAACCAAATCCAAGAATGTAAGTTAAACCCGTACTCAGAGTTAAGGGACGTTCATTACAAAGTGAAAATCTCGTACTTAGCAGTCAATTCAAAGGAGTTGGTGTAAGTGAGAGGCCTGGACTGTGGGAAGCTGGGAGCCTGCAGCTGAACAGCCGGCTGGCTCGCAAGCATAGCAGCTCTCGGTACCGCTGTGTGCCAGGCACTGGTAGAGGCGCTTTACATGTATTATCTCACTTAACCACTTACTGAGTGACCATGGACAAGTCCCTCTTCTGGATTTTACTATTCCAGAGAATTAGGTTAGTCTTTAAGCTCCTTTCCTGAACAGTGATGCTGTGATGTCTTGAGTTCCCAGTGGTGTTGGCAAGAGGTCAGCCCTTGATAATTCTACAAAACTAGCACACAACTTGTTCACTAATTATATAGACAGAGGGATCAAAGCACTGAGAAACTTTGTTCTACAGGCTGGGGCAAAAATAGGTTTACAGTTGTGAGTATGCAAAACAGACTTTATTCTTGTATTATTTTTCATATGAACAACTATAAACTCACTTTTGTCCCACCCTGTAGATGAGTAAAGGGAAAAACACAATTCTTCCTGTATGTGTTTCCTCTACTCTTAATATTCTACTGCAACACTATTCCACTTCTGACACCAGATGTGTGAGTTTTCACATATGAAGCAATTGTGACACCACCTGGGTGGCCTGTGATTTAACTCAATTCTGGCACAACCTGAAAATAGCAGCAGATCCCACAGATTAAGGGCTTCCACAAGACTGCTCCTCCACCCACTGCAGAAGCAGGTGGAAAGTCCAAGTTGTTAGCTGTGCTTCTGACCTATTGGCTACAGCTAGGAAGAGCCCAAGACCCCTTTCTGAAGTTTTATTAATTTGCCGGAGTGGTTCAGGAAATTTAGGAAACATTTTATTTACTAGATTACCAGTTTATAATAAAAGGACATAACTCAAGAATAGCCAGATGGAAGAGATACATAGGGCAAGGTATGTAGGAAGGGGCATAGAGCTTCCACGCCCTCTCTAGGCATAAGCCACCCTCCCTGAACCTCCATGTGTTCACCAGCTCTGAACCCCATCTTTTTGGGGTTTTATGGAGGCTTCAGTATAGGCATGATTGATTAAATCATTGACCATTGGTGACTGAACTTGATCTCTAGTCTATCTCCTCTCCATGAAAGTCAGGAGTGGGTATGAAAGTTCCAACTCTCTAATAACATGGTTGGTTCCTCTGGCAACCAGCTCCCATCCTTCAGGATTTTATAAAAGTTCCCTCAAAAGGGGCTCCTTATGAATGACAAAAAAAAAACACAAAAAAACAAAAAAAACCCCAACTCCTATCACTCAGGAAATTCCAAGGGTTTTAGGAACTTTGTGCTAGGAAATGGAGACAAAGACCAAATATTTCTTATACCACAATATTATAAAGTAATATATACATATTACATTGAAGTCAGAAGAGGACTTAAAGATATAGCAATTCTAGTCCTAACAAAAACTTTACCTGCATAAACTCTTCCACTTGCCTTCCTTAAAATAACTGACAAACAGGTAAATGTTTGTGGTTAGGTCACTAGACTCAGCTTAGGATATTTCTTGTGAAAATAAAAGATGTGCTCTAAGGATGAGACAGAATAGTTGCATCCTGAAGCTCATTTGTTCTAGCTGCCTATGCAAATTTAGTCTTTCAGAAGTTGGAAACAGATGAGCTCACTTTTACGGAAAAATAACGAGAGCACTGATAAAGAGTAATTCAGAGACTTCCAGTCTTCTACAGCCAAAATAAATAGACTGATGTCAGATAAACATTTCAGTTAATGACTTGTAAGCCTGCCTTTGGAGTTGAGGAGAGTTCTAAAATGGCATCCCTTGATGATCCAGCACCTGGTGTGGACTTGCCCTACCTATCCTCTCCCAGTTATAAAAGTTACAATATTTTGCTGGATGGGATCTGCTGCAGTGGGACAGAAGTTCTTGCAATCCTATTTTATTGGAAGACAATGGAATGCTTTGGAGGCTGCATTGGCTCTGGAATAATGGTCCTTTGAGGATCTGTGTCTTTATAGAGTGTCTCGTGTGGTTGGGGTACAGGTAAGATACTTAAGCCAAGGGCCAGCATTGCTGGAGAGGCCTCCTGATCATCTAGTTATCCTAATCTGTTTTGTTAAATTAATTAAACAAGGAGGCTTATTAGGCTGTGGCTCAAATGCTGTGGCAGCCGACATAAGCAAACCAAAACCTATGCCTGTGAATACCTCAAAGTTATGAAATCAGAATGCTAAGGACAACCAATCACAAATAGCCAACTAGGCTTTAAGCTATAGCCAATCAAATAATTTCCTTTCTTTGCTTCCGTGCTTTCTCTATATGCCTTTCGCCTAGCTTCTGTCAGCACAGTGCTCCTAACCACTTCTGGTTTGGTACCGCCCCATTCAAATGGATGCATGCTTCAATAAATGATTAAAATTATTTTATTTATTTATTTTTTATCTTTATTGTTGAATATATTACAGATGTTCCTCATTTTCCCCCCATTGACCCCCTCCTCCCCACTCCCACCCCACTCCTGCCTTTTCCCACACTGTTGTCTGTGGCCTTTGGTTATGTATATATGCATATAAATTCTTTGGTTTATTTCTTCCTACTCCCCAACCCCCCTTCCCTTTGAGGTTTGTCAGTCTAGCAACCAATTTGTACTTCTTAATCCCTTCACCTTTTTCACCCATTCCCCCAAGCTCCCTCCCATCTGGCAACCAACAAAATGTTCTCTATATCTATGAGAATGTTTCTGTTCTGCTTGTTCATTTTGTTTGTAGATTCAATTGTCGATAGCTATGTATTCATTGCCATTTTGTTTGTTCATATATTTTATCTTTTTCTTCAAGAAGACCCTTCAACATTTCATATAATAATGGTTTGGCGGTAATGAACTCCTTTAGCTTTTTCTTGACTGGGAAACTCTTTATATGGACATCGATTCTAAATGACAGCTTTGCAGGATAGAGTAATCTTGGTTGTAGGTTCTTGCTTTTCATCACTCTGAATATTTCTTGCCACTCCCTTCTGGCCTGCAAAGTTTCTTTTGAGAAATCAGCTGACAGTCTAATGGGAACTGCCTTGTAGGTAACTAGCTGCTTTTAAGATTCTCTCTTTGTCTTGAACCTTTTGCATTTTGATGATGATGTGTCTTGGTGTGGGCCTCTTGGGTTCATCTTGTTTGGGACTCTCTGTGCTTCCTGGACTTGTATGTCTGTTTCCTTCACCAAGTTAGGGAAGTTTTTTGCCATTATTGTTTCAAATAGTTTTTCGATTTCTTGTTCTCTCTCTCCTCCTTCTGGCACCCCCAAGATGCGAATGTTGGCACACTTGAACTTGTCCCAGAGGCTCCTTACACTCTCCTCAGTTTTTTGGATTTTTTTCTTTTTGCTGTTCTGATTGGGTGTTTTTTGCTTCCTTATATTCCAATTCAATGGTTTGCTTCTTGGCTTTACCTACTCTATTATTGAATCTGTGTAAATTATTCTTTATTTCAGTTAGTGCCTCTTTCGTTTCTGACTGTGCATCCATCATTTCTGACTGGTCCTTCTTATTGCTCTTGAGGCCCTCACTAAGTTCATTGAGCATCCTTATAAGCAGTATTTTGAACTCAGCATCTGTTAGGTTGCTTATCTCTATTTCACTTAGTTCTTTTCCTGGGGTTTTGTTCTGTTCTTTCATTTGGGACCTGTTTCTTTGTATCCTCATTTTGGCTGCCTCCCTGTGTTTGTTTCTGTGTATTACTTAACGAGAGGTATGGGGCTAGCTGAGACCAGATGCTGCTTGTTTGAAAGAATTTTCGAAAATCTGAAGCAGGATCCAAGACAGGCCAATCCTATGGTTAAGCAACTGGCAACAGCTTGGGTGGGGTGGGGAGGGTCCTCAGGGAATCACCAGGGCGGGGCAAACAGTGTGAGCCAGGTTGCTAAAGTCCCAGATATGGTGGCTGTCTGCCACCCCAGGGAAGGGCTCACCAAAGGTACAAAGGCCTCTGACAGCACGTTTGTCCCGGAGAAAGCCCCCTCTCCAACCCTCACTCCAATGCTAAACAGCTCAGTTCTTTCCATATGTCTCTGGCGCCCCTCGAGCTGCCTCCCCTCCACACTTAGAGGGAGCAAGTCTGAGTAAGTTCGTGCATAGGCCCTTAAAGAGGAGCTGCCTGGGGCTCCAGCTGCCTCAGCCTCCCTGAGCCTCAGTTCCTGCTGGTTTTTCCAGCCAGAAGTTATGGGGATTCTTTTCCTGGCACTGGAACCCTGAGCAGGGTGCCTGGTGTGGGACGGGGACCCCTCAGTCCACAGGGAGGACCTTACCAGCCGAGGTATCTTCCTAATTTTTATCTGCCACGCGTGTGTGTGGGACCAGCCTGTCGCACCTCTGCCCCTCCTACCAGTCTCAATGCAACTGCTTCTTTAATTTTGTATTTGTAGGACTTCCATTCAGCTCGATTTCAGGCAGTTTTGAATGATGGTTGTTCTGTAGTTTAGTTGTAATTTTGATGTGGTTGTGGGAGGACGCGATACCGCGTTTACCTACGCCTCCATCTTGACTGGAAGTCCCAATGAGCATCTTTTCATATGTCTATTGGCTTATCTGTATGTCCTCTTTGGAGAAGTGTCTGTTCAGATCCTGTGCTCATTTTTTAATTGGACTCTTTGGGCACTTTTGGTGTTGAGTTATCTGAATTCTTTATTTTGGAATATTAACTCTTTATTAGATGTATTATTGGCAAATATGTTCTCTCATTCAGTGGGTTGTTTTTTAATTTTGTTGATAATTTCCTTTGATGTGCTTTTTAGTTTGAAGTAGTCCCATTTGTTTATTTTATTTCTCTGGCCCAAAGATATATATCATAAAAAATATTGCTACGCGATATGTTCGAGATTTTATTGCCTATGTTTTCTTCTAGAATTTTTATAGTTTTACACTTAAGTTATAAGAGGTTTTAAAAAAATGTGTATAGGAAGGATCTGTTAATATGCAGGTTTGCCTTATTAAGTTTGGGGTGCTGCAGAATCAGGTAAACTAGATTTATTATTCTTTGAAAAGTCTATGGACATTTTTTTTTGCTTTTTTTTTGTCCTCACCCAAGGACACTTTTTCGATATTTTGTTCAGATAGAGTGGGAGGGGGGAGAGAGAGAGAGAGAAACATCGACGTGAAAGGGACACATCGAGTGGTTGCCACCCACACGACCCAACCAGGGCCGGGGACAAACTGCCACCAAGTTACGTGCCCTTAGCGGTAACTGAACCCAGGTCTCTCTGGACTGCAGGCCGACACTCTAACTGCTGAGCCAAACTGGCCAGGGCTGGACATTTAAATAAATATGTAAGTTGCATGTACTTGCGGGGTCTTTGGTTCCATTCCTGGTCAAGGGCATGTATCTAGGTTGCAGGTTCAATCCCCGGCCCTGGTTGGGGTACGTGCAGGAGGCAACCAATCAATGTGTCTTTCTCACATTGATGTTTCTCTCTCTCTCTCTCTCCCTCCCTCCCTTCTATTGTCTCTAAAAATCAATGGAAAAAATATCATCTGTTGAACATTAAAAAAAATTTTTTTTAAAGTGGGCAAAGATTAACTAAGTGCCTGAATTGGCTCCAAGGCTTTCCAACTCAAGTCTGTAACAATGAGAATGGTATTAAGTTTAAAAAGGATAGGAGAGGAGTCTTAGAAATAAACCCAAATATCTGACCTAGGGAAGGAGTGAGTGTGGAATCAGTACATTATGATTTTCCAAAGCATAAAATACATGACCCAGTCACAGTAACATTTTCTAAAAGGTCATCAAGGATATGTACAGCTGAAACTAGTTATTCATTCCACTACTGTTTAAATTTAGTTTTAAATACTCCTTTCGTTTTGTAATAAATTTTCAGATAAACAAATGGGCATTTATGTTTTTTTTTTTTTATCCTCACCTGAGGACACTTTTCCATTTTTTGTTCAGGTAGAGTGGGAGGAAGAGAGAGAGAGAAACATTGATGTGAACAGGACACATTGAGTGGCTGCCTCCTGCATGACCAACCAGGGCCGGGGACAAACTGCAACCGAGGTACATGCCCTTAGCGGGAACTGAACCCGGGTCTCTCTGGACCGCAGGCCGACGCTCTAACCGCTGAGCCAAATTGGCCAGGGCTATGTTAGTTTTGTTGGTAACCATAATTCTGGTTAGAATGATAAATAAGATGTATCAATCATGAGGTGATCCAACAAGTTGGTGAGACACATTAGACTTGTTTTTAAAGAAAGAAAAAGAAAATGTGTGCTACTACAGAATGAGCTTGAACACGCAGGTTTTACAACAGGACTTAGAAATTCCCATTATCATGGAGATGAAGTGAACCACAAGAGCCAAACTAAAAGATAAATGTAATTTGAGGCAATATAATACGTTGCAGAAAATAAATATATCAGAGTGATTAAATAGCAATGGAAATGTGTGGGCTCAAAAAGTCTTGATGACATGACAAACAAGAGCTTCCTCTAAGGAAGTTTAAGAAAACTATTAATAAAGTGCTTAATAGTCATTGATATATAACTGAGAGCATTCCTTTCTTTACATAACCATGCCCCCACTATTTCACATAACTCTTCACCATTAGTAAGAGCTCACTAGTAATCATTTTAAAGACTTTTTAAAGGTAGCAGATTATACCTTGTCAGCTTTGAAACGCCATTAAACTTTTCTGTATATTCAAAATCAAAATACCTTAGTTTCAACTTTGAATGCTCTTTTCTGTTATTAAGGAAACATCTGAGTGGCTTCTGTGTGCCAGAAAATATGCTAAGCATGTTTAGCATATAAAGATGAGTATATGCTAAATATCTTAATCATCATACAAAGATGATTAAGATATTGTATCTCTTTCCTATGAATTTAGAATTACATTAGAAAGATATATAGGAATACAATTGAGACACATCATAAGTGTCATAGTAAATGCCCAAACTGCTGTAGGAGCAAATAACTGACTAAACCTACTTGAATTGTAGGGGAGGTATTGAAATTGATGCTTGAGTTGGGTCTTAATAAATATGCACATTTGCCACATAAGAGTTGGAATAGTCCAGGTGGAGAGCAGAAGCAGCAGCGCCCAAGGTAAAGGAGCAAAAGGTAAAAGAGGCTATGTGCTCAGACTTCTAAACAAGTATGTGGGGTGGAGAACAGAATTTGTGGGAGAATGACAAGAGTTGAGGCTGAAAATATACGCAGGTGCTAGGTTATGGAGAACCTTGTTGTGACTGTAAGAAATGGGGAAACATTTAAGAATTTTAACCAAAGTCAGGGACACCAGTTAGGAGATGAAGTTGATGATTAGACAAGTGAAAAATCAGGCCTTGACTTTATTAAGTGGCAGAGGGGATAGGGAAAAGAAAAGTAGAAAGGACAAGACTCTGATCGGGACTCAGTCTACATGGTGAGGGAGGAAATTGTGTTTGTGCCTGATGATCTCCTTTTGTCAAGGTCAACTCTTTTGGTGTTAGGGAGACTGAAAGGACAACAATAGGAGGTGTAAACAGCATGGTAGGGAAAACAAGGCTTCCAAATGTAGGCTTAAGCTTTATAAAAGAATAATTAGGCAATATTGAGATTATAAAAATTGCTTTATTTCAACTGTGAAAATATAAAAACCACATACATATAAAATTTAAGTGCATTCAAGCATCCAACTTTAAGTTCCAGCTGTAGCTGCTCATAAATGTAATTAAATTTAATTGAGACAATATTTATTCATAGTTGGCATAAATATGAAGAAGATTATATTTCTAAAAATTAAGATACAGGAGAAAATAATACATCCTGTCTCTAATAAAAGCACAGAACTATAGTAGTCAGTGCCAGGAACTTCCCAACACCCACTCCGTTCCAAAAGATTATTAGGGGACATTTATAGGAGCCTCAGTGATGTTGGTACTGACTGGGGAAAATGGCCAGGAGATCCATTCCTGACCAATAACACATGAGGAGAAACAAGGAGAGGTTTGCTGGAGGACCTCTGCGAAAGACACAGAAAAATTGCTCATCTTCTTTCTCTGGGTGCTGTCAGGTCTCCATGGGTCCATGGAATAGCTACAGCCATCAAGCCACCATCTTGAGAATGAAGCCAATACTAAAGGTAGCACACTGGTTCCTACTGAGCTATGGAGTGCACCTGTTTCCACTTCTTGTAATTTGGGATTATAAATGTCCTTATTGTTTAAGCCTTTAGAACTAAAGGCGTAACAAAAGTAAACATTAACAGATGGTAATAAGGTATTGAAGTAAATTTTCCTCCTCTTGGTAAATCAATTTCCCTTACAGTTATTTTTTTTAAAATTTCATTTGAATTTTACATAATCCCTCTGTCAAAATGATTGTAATTAATCATTTTTAATACTATCACATCCACCATCTGTCCTCTTACATAGTATTGCTGACAACGACAAGCAATAAAGAGAAGCAGAAAGTGAATCTAGCTCTCTGATAAGGTGCAAAGAGATTATCTCTTGTTTATAAACAATTTGAAGGTTATGGTAGTAAACTTTTTCTGATGGGAGCCCTTCCAATGGCATATTCAGGAAAGAATATGACAATCTTCTAATAACTGTTTTTTGAAAATAAAAACAACTAAGCACTTTCTTAAAACTAATAATATATCCTTTACTTACTTGGAAGCATTCATAAACATTTTTAATAACTTTAAATAAAAATATTAAATGCAAAGTACAATAATAGTGTTTGTCGCAAGGTATTATTATTAGCAATGGTTTGCTTAAAAAGAACAAAATACTGTGCTAAGTCTAGCCTGAGAGCGTCCCAGTGTCTCTAAACTCCTACTGGTTGATTTGTAATGTATCTGCTTGCCTTCCTATAGCTCGACACCTTGCTTTCCCCTTCTCAATACACTAGACAAAGTCAATCTCAAGGTTACTGTAAACCATTTATTTTCAGAGGCAAGCAGCAACTCTGGCATTTCTTATCACAAAAAACCCATATGAGAAAGCTGGCAAGCTTAGTGGACTTCCTGGGCTGAGAGGTTTTTCTATCAAAGTTGGCAGGGTTTGGTCATCCACCATCTTCAGAGTTTTATCATTGAGTTGGACAGATCTGCAAAGTGGAAAGATATGTCTAAGTTAGCCAAGTTGTGTGTGCTCCACCTGCTCTACAAAAGTTGTGAGACCTTTTATTCAAAAACATTTTTCTTTATTGATTTTAGAGAAGGAGGAAGGGAGAGGGAGAGATAGAAACATCAATGAGAGAGAACATTGATTGGCCACCCCCTGCATGCTCCCCACTGGGGATTGGGCCCACAACCTGGGCATATGCTCTGACCGGGAACTGAACTGGCAACCTCTCGGTGCATGGGTCGATGCTCAACCACTGAATCACACTGGCCGGGCAGTTGTGAGATCTTTTTAAGACCAAGAAAATATTTTTTGTGTGATAGCCTATATCACATAACTTATATTTCAACACTCTATCAGTTAGGTATTTGACCTTGATGATCTTCAAGCGTACAGTGGTGGAACTGAGTTGTTGTGACAGAGACCACATGGCCTTCAAAGAATGAAATATTTACTGTCTGGCCCTTTACAGAAAATGGAACACACATGATCTATATTAGACAATATAATGGAAGTATAAAAAGGATAAACATGGCATAACTTCTGGATTTGTGGACCTTTTATTTGATGGCAAATAATAGGAAACATTTTTTTAGAGCAAATAGATATATTGAATGGAATGTAAATTTCACAAATGTAACCTAAAAAATGATAGTCAATAAAATTTCCCACTGGTAACTATGCCCATAGCCCTCTAACTCCCTACTCCCCAGGAGGTATACATTCATTTTCTTATGAAGATATTTTGGTAGAATGTGCATTGCTGGGGTAAAACAAAATGATTTTGTTTGGCTAAACCACAGATTCCAAAAAAATGTTTTCTTTACATTTCAATGCGGTATTCAAATTCAAAACCGAGTCAAAAGTTGGAAAACATTGTTAAGCACAAGTATTTATTTATTATTTATTATTACTTAAGTAAAATGAATACATGCTCATAGCAACAAATCCAATATAAACAAGAGCTTATAAAGAAAGCTTTAGCCTGCTTTTAGTTCTACCAATAATTACTTCTATAATTCTAAATGATGCTTATATCTCTATTATGTTTTTCACAAATGCTTTTAATATCATGAGAAAGTTAGCACTTTTTATTATTTATTTATTTTTTTAATCCTCACCTGAGGATATTTTTCTACTTATCTTCAGATAGAGTGGGAGGGAGGGAAAGGGAGAGAGAGAAACATCGACATAAGAGGGACACATCTATTGGCGGCCTCCTGAATGGACCCCGGCCAGGGCTGGGGATAAACTGCAACCAAAATATGTGCCCTTGACCAGAATCGAACCTGAGACTCTTTGGTCCGTGAGCCGATGCTTTACTGCTAAGCCAAACCAGCCAGGGCAAATTAGCACTTTTTTATTGTTGAAAATTTAGATTAATGTTAGAGTTATATGTATGTCATATATATGATACATGTAATATACATAGAACACTTAAAAGAGTGTGTTGCATGTAGTAAGTGCTATAAAAGTATTATCATCATCATTATTCAGAATAAATATAACAAAAGTAACCTGTTAAATCGTCCTTACTGTTTTTAGTATTTTGATCTATATTCCTCCATCTCTTTTCTATGCAAGTATAATACACATTTTCATTTAAATAAAATGAGTATACAGTCTCTTAAAACTTGACTCTTCCAAAGAGGACATACAGATGGCCAATAGACATATGGAATGGCTCAATGTCACTAATCATCAGAGAAATGCAAATTAGAACCATAGTGAGATACCACCTCACATCTGTCAGAATGGCTGTCATCAATAAATCAATAAACAACAAGTGTTGGCAAGGATGTGGAGAAAAAGAAACCCTCATGCACTGTTGGTGGGAAAGCAGATTAGTGCAGCCACTATGGAAAACAGTATAAAGGGTCCTCAAAAAATTAAAAATGGAACTGTCTTATAATCCAGTAATTCTATTTCTGCATATATATCAAAAGAAATACAAAACACTAATTCCACAGAATCTATGGATCCCTATGTTTATTGCAGCATTATTTACAATAGCCACAATATGGAAGCAACACAAGTACCCATCAATAGATGAGTGGATTAAAAAAAATAGCGGTACATATATACAATGGAATATTATTTGGCCATAAAAAAGAACGAAATATTATTTGAAACTGCATGGGTGGACCTGGAGGGAATTATGCTAAGTGAAATAAGTCAGAGAAAGACAAATTCCATAAGATTTCACTTATATGTGGAATCTAACAAAATAAACGAACAAAATAGAAACTGACTCATAGATACAGAGAATAGACTGATGGTTGCCTAAGAGGAGGGGCATTGAGGGACTGGGTGGAAATGGTGAAGGAATTTGGAAGTACAAATTGGTAGTTACAAAATAGTCACAGGAATGTAAAGTATAGCATAAGGAATAGAGTCAATAATATTATAATAACTATGTATGATATGAGGTGGGTACTGGAATCATTAGGGAGAATTCTTTGTAAAACATACAATTGTCTAACCACTATGCTGTACACCTGAAACTAATACAAAATAATATTGAATATAAGATGTAATTGAAAAAATAGAATTAAATAGTTTTTTTAAATAAAAATTTTGTTTGATTATTTTTCCCTCAACACATCTTAACATTTATTCACACCATTAAACATTCACCCACTACATCGTTTTAAAGGCTGCACAGGATTCCATTGTGTGAGAATGCTAGTTTATTTACTTAATCATCTAATGTTAGACATTTGTTGGTTTCCATTTTAGCATTATTATAAAGATTTCACTTTTAAAGGTCTCTCATCTTCTATCCTCACTATCAGTCAGCATGAAAACTGTGTTCCGTTTAACCTCGGTTAGAGGCACAGCTCTAGGCTCTGTACCTTGACCCATATCAATAAGATGATTATGATTGTGCTGGAGGCTAAGGAGCCGCCATTACGGTTGTACTCAGTCCACATGCACCGGAGTTTGCTTTCACGCCTGTATCATGTCAGTTTTTCTATGGGCTCCAGGAGGAAATACTATTACCAGCATCAGGAAACCACAAACAAAAATAGGTCATGAAAACATCTCTATGTGACAGTAGTATGAGCTGTTCTGCATGACATTGAGGACCATTTACAAGGGTACACCAAACCCTTTCAGAAATACTTTTGAATAGGCAACAGTTTAAAGGGAAATCTGATCATTTTAAATTAATGCTGCTGTAGGTTATGATGACGAAACATAGGCAAGACCCTAACTCCATTGAGCTAAATTGTTCAATCAGCTATAAATATAGCTAACGGATACTATGAGTGTACAGAGTGTAAGCTTAAAGCATGCTGATTGTTTTAACATCAGGCTGGACAATGTGGGTAGGGTCTTATTTGAGAGTAGTATCTTTTTTCATATTTTGAAGTCAGTAACATGATGACACAGACATATAAGATATGTTTGTGAAGTTTCAGATGAAATAGACCTGGAAGACAAACCAACTGTCCTTCAAGTCATTGAGAGTTATTATGGAGAAAATGAGGTATTTGGCATTGCTTCAGATTAAGGGTAGCAAACTCAAATGTCCAAAGGGCCAAGTTATATGTGCAAGTGTAGTAGGACTGGCATAAGATAACAGGGTCACATCTAATAGGAAGAACAAGCCCTGAGTTGCCAGAGTATCCATTTTAAAATATTTTTTTAGTAGTTGTCAACTGTTAAATGTTGACAACTAATTGAAAATAAAAATTAACAGAGTGTACACCAACCTGCCCTACCAGGAAAGAGAAAAAAAAAAATCTTCTAAACTCAGTTGTCCATAGGCATGAGGTGTAGTTTCTAACCTCTGCCCTAGAAAACAGAACTAAGAGCATCAAAAAAAAAAAAAAAAAAAAAAGTCACAGACAGGCTCACTTTGTCTCCGCCAGATAAAACAACTGCCAGGAGATGCTGCGAGCTTAATCAGAGGAGGAATCAAACAGAAATGAATATCCTTAGATACCATCTATGGTTGGACAAAACCGATCTCTTAAGACACTTCCAACTCTACAGCTATTATTCAGTTACTTTACAAAACCTTTTCCCTTATCAGCATCAGACACAAATATGCTAAAAAGACCCACTGAAAAAGGGTCAGAACTCAAATAGAGAAAAGTATTCCTTTACCTCAATATATATTATTTACAATAGGAAAAAAAGGTTGTAGACCAGTAGGAAAATAGGTAAGTAAGCCATGGTATTTTATTAAAACATGCAACTCATTAACAATGTCCACAGGGTAGTGAACATACAATACAATATACGGATGATGTATTATGATGTGCTAATAATACTTGTGTGTGGGGGGATAGGACTTTGGAGAAAGCATGCTTACTGTTCTTTTTCAGGTTATGATGCTAATTGTCACTGAAAACATCACTCATATAGCATTTGCAAAGGTGGGAGGAGATGGTGAGAATTTTGTTGACTCTTGATTTCTAATGCTCCAATCTGAGAATAACCATGATGAAAAGAGCTCCTTCCAACACACATTGGACAGAAATCTCACCATGTTTGTGTGCCTAACTCTTCAAAGCTCATAGTCATTCTTGGATATTCTGTTAAATATGCTCTTTTTTTTTTTTAATCCTCAGCTGAGGATATGTTTTTATTGATTTTTTGAGAGAGAGAGAAGCTTCCAGTATGGGGTGTGGAACCTGCAACCTAGGTATATGCCCTGACCGGGAATCGAACCTGCAATATTTTTGGTGTACTAGACAATGCTCCAACTAACTGAACCACCCAGCCAGGGAAAATATGGTCTTTTGTAAGACATATTCAATGACTGGCTTTTAAAACCTAAATGTATTTGAACCAACTTCAAATAATCTATCTAAAAGGTACATTTCTGGCTATTTTTTTTTCTTACTCTTAACTAATGAAAAAAAAACCACCTACTTTAATGCAGTTGGAGAGTCATGCCCAGCTCACATAGGAGAAGTTTACAGCAACCCCCATGCCCTTAATGGCAATTATATATAGGTATGTTTTGCTTTTGTGACTGTGCGAGCAAATAATCTAAATGAGATTTAGATTCTAAATGCATCGAGTGGATCTTGACATATCAGGTTGTTTTGAAATGCAAACTACTCCCTGAAATAACTGCTGGTTTGTGTTCATGTCCTGCTTTTGACTCTCAGAGTGAGTTATACTTGTGCTAATAGGTATGCATATATAAACTTCCTGAATACTAAGAATTGTCAAAACTTGAAATAGTTGACTTCTTTTTCTCCCTATCAACACTCTATTTTGATAAACACCAATAAATTTTATGAAAGTTTAAAATGAACAAAAACCAAAAAACAAAACAAAACTACTCACTGGGAAAACAATCCATCGGGTCCTGAAGCTTTTACAACGTATCTGTCCACTTCTTTGTCAAATAAATAATGTGGTAACTGCAAGTGCTTGGTGACATTATGAAGGTTTAAGGCATACAGAGTTAAATCTCCTTCTTTATACCTTGGGCTAAAAGCAAATAAATTGATTCAGTAAAATTATTTGTCTCATTTAAACAATTAGAAACTTGATAACAAATATAATTGTGGATATTAAATAATTAGTATTTATAATGATGATGGGCCCTCTTTTTATGCTAATGTGGCCTTACTCGAAAACATGATTATAAATATTGCTCTTCACAGCACCATTTTCTAGCTAGAGCACTCTGAGATCTTTGCTGCTCTGTCAGGCTGAGATACTAGGAAGTTAGTCAGCTTATTCATTCTCAAACACAGGAAGGTTAAATGGCAAAAGTTGAATTTTGTGGGTTCATGAGCATTCGAATTATAAACTATACAAACAGGGGCTTTTTCTAGCTGTATGAAAAGTGGGAAGCAAACAAGAAAGTTACATCTGTTGACTTTTCAGAATTTATTTATCCAGACTACTCCACTTCTTCCTAGTGGGGCTCTCACTCTCCAGAGTTCCCACTGACCAGACATTGGAAATGTTCGGTGGCTATTTTGGCTGGAATTAGTACTTTAGTTTCCAACCTTTTCAGAAGGATAGATTAAAACTAAGAAGAGAAAAATCTCAGATATGGGAACATTTTTTGCTGCTAAGGCTGGAGTACCAAACAATAAAAATCGCTGTGGTCTCTCAACCCCAGAAACTTCTGGAAACAAGATTGTTATTGTTCTTTTATTCTTCTTCCTTATTAAATTGATCAGTTATGATGCAAGGGGATAAGTATATTCATATAATTATTCATTCATATAAATTTATATTCACTTATTCAATGAAGTAACTTTGTATAAAAATACATTGGTACTATTTTTTATTTAAATTTAGGGTATATTTCTATTATAGATTATGACAATTAAAGTCATTGTAAAAGCCAAATGATAATATTTAAGCTATGTTTTTGTTTTCTTAGTTAGATTCTGGTGCCATATCACTATGACTAGGAAAAAGAATACAGGACAATAACACAGCTTAGACCCTCTTAGAGAGAGGAAACTGAGTGTTAGAGAAAGAAGTTATGTGCTTACTGATAAAAACTTGTTGGTTTGTAAAGAGTGTGTTACATACTTACTGGTTGATGTTTGTGCAATGAAGGTACACTCGAAGTTTGCTTCTGGCTTGACCTTTCACACTTGCCTTTAACACCTTGGTGCCCACCAGTTTCTTGAATAGAAGAGAGAGCCAATAATCCTAGTGGTGGTGGTTGGGGAGGGGAGGGATGAAAATAGATCTTTATTTAGTTCCTTATTTAATAAAAACTATGTCACACAAGCAGTTATCCTACAAAGAGTGTGACTGTTATTCTAGAGGTATTTAAATAGGATTCATCTTTTGGTTTGTGTCGCCTATGAATCTGAGGGCAGTATCTTGTTTGTTGCTTTTTATCACTAGAGGATATGTTTCCACAATTCAGGGGGCCATACGTGCTAGGAGACACATCTCAAGACTGCAGTTCATGACTCAGAGACAGTTTACATATTCTCCATTGTCTATCATCCAAGAATTGAAAGCAAAATTCAAAGCAGAACTTTTACACACACACACACACACACACACACACACACACACACACACACACACACATTTTTAAAATAAAATTTCTGTTTAAGAGATTAAAATATTTTCTTTAAAACCTTATAACACCTTTAATAAAGTAATGGATTAGGCAACAATCATCACTAGCTGTCAAGGTAAAAAAAAAAAAAAAAAAGAAAGACAATCAGACATGATGTGTCTAATGCAAGCATACAACATTACCTATGAAGAAGTCTTGCAAAACAAGAAACTTTGAGTAAGCTCAAGCCTCTAGTTCTAACTACCAGCTTACAGAGAATATAGGGGACAGAGGAACATGCTAAATGAATACATTTAGCAAAATCCAGAATGTTGGAAACACTATAGAACAATTACCTGCTTTCTTTAATTGATAAATTCCAAGGGACCAAAGAAAAAGAGGGAAGGAGAACTTAAAGATTAGTAGACTTAAGAGATATATCAACCAGCCCTGGCCAGTTTGGCTCAGCAGTTGGAGCGTTGGCCTCTGGACCAGAGTCCCGGGTTTGGTTCCCACTAGGGGCATGTACTGAAAAAAAAAGAAAAAAAAAAAAAGGTATATCAACCAAATGCTATATGTGAACCTTGTGGATTTGAATATACTATTAAAACATTTGTGACAGTAAGAAAAATGTGAAACACTGAATATTTGATGATATTGAGAAATTATTGTTAACACTTTATTGATATTGTTATGTTTTTACAAAGGAGATACATACTGAAATATTTATGAATAAAGTGATATAGCTGAGATTTGCTTGAAAGTAATACAGTAGGAGGGAGGTGAAGAGTTGGTAGAATTGTAGATTAAACAAGATTGGGGATATACTTTTCTCTCTACTTTTACATTTTCCATAATTATTAGTTTTTAAAAATTCACTCAAAATATACCTCAACTCTTCCTTCCTGAGCTGAGGGAAAGTAGACTCAACAAGGCAGCTTTTGTTTCTCTGCTTAAATTCAAATTCAGATCTTCTCTTGAGACAAGAGTGCAATCAATGAAATGTTTCACAGGAGATATAATCTTAGCATGGTTCAGTTTTCTTAGAAAACAGATAGCCTCAGATGTCATCTTAGACAGTAAAAATCAAAGGCATACTTCTCAGGGAGATATCCATACTATCTCAATTTATAGACACGTATATATTCCAGGTGGCTTTTTAGATAGAAAGGCTACCTTACCTAATTTAGCACTAGATACAGTTGGAGGTATGGTGGAAATTAGACTTTTTTATTCATAAATACCTTGAAGATAATGAACAAAATAGTCGTTTTTTTGGGTGAGGTTTTTGAACAAATACATGATGCTACTGACTTATCTTTAAAAAAAATTTTTTTTTTGATTTTTAGAGAAAGAAGAAGGGAGAGGGAGAGAGAGATAGAAACATCAATGAGAGAGAACATTGATTGGCTGCCACCTGCATGCCCCCCCACTGGGGATTGGGCCCACAACCTGGGCATGTGCCCTGACTGGGAATCAAACTGGTGACCTCTTGATTCATGAGTTGACGCTCAACCACTGAGCCATGCCAGCCAGGCACTACTGACTTATCTTAAAGTTGAATAAATTATGACTTTATGACAAAAAATTTTAAAACGTTGGATACTGTAAACAATTTTAACTTTGATTTACTTTGCAAACATTTTTACAATCCTTACCTGAGGATATTTTTCCCATTGATTTTTTTTTAGAGAGTATGGAAGGGAGGGAGGGAGGGGGAGAGAGAGAGAGAGAGAGAAACATCCATGTGAGAGAGGCACACACATCAATTGGTTGCCTTCCGCACCTGCCTCAACTAAGCTGGGAAATTGAACCTGCAACCTAGTAGGTGCCCTTGATTGAAAATTGAACTCATGGCCCTTTGGTGCATGGGCCAATGCTCTAACCACTGAGCATCGCCAGCCAGAGCTATAAACCATTTTTTGATCCAAGTTTTATATCTTGTAAAATAGGAGTCATAAAATTGCAAATGACCCTTTTTAAGAAATACCACACCACATCTAAAATGGCTCACATTATAAACATTATTCCAGCCCTGGCCAGTTTGACTCAGTGGTTAGAGCATAGGCCTGTGGACCACAGAGTCCTGGGTTCAATTCCCACTAAGGACATGTACCTTGGTTGTGGTTTGTCCCCGGCCCTGGTTGGGGTCGTGTGGGTGGCAACCAGTCAATGTGTCTCTCTCACATGGATGTTTCTCTCTCTCTCTTCCCCTCTTTCTCACTCCCGCTCTGTCTGAAGATAAATACAAAAATGTCCTTGGGTGAGGATAATAAAATAAAATTAAATTAAATTAAAATAAAAACATTATTCCTGGGCCTCAATTTCTTCTCTTGAGACAAAAATGTTAGAATGGATTATGTCTAGAGTTTCTTCCAGTTCACCTTTCCATGGTTAGGCTACTTCTTGAAAGCACTGAGTTTAATGAGAGGACAATTCATAGGGGGTTAATACAGGGGGTCTTCAGTATAGTCTTATCTACTCACAGAAATAGGAGAACAATGGTCACTTACAGGTAACGGTTCAAAGTTTTCATCCACTAAGTGGTAGTTTCCAGCTCCAAAAAACACTTGCCTCATCACCACTTCTATGCCCATTCGGGCTGACAGGCCCAGTTTATCCAGCCACCTGCAACAGAGTGAATGAGGCCCTGCTTTCTCCAGGTTTGGAAAAGCAAATAACTTAATTCTCATTATAGACTATTGTAATTTATTCACCTATGTGGAATTAACGGAAAACCGGAAAAGTGGTATTAATTGTAAATAAGTCATTCAAATGAAATGGAGACTATCCTTCCCTTCACATGTTCCCATACTTCTGCATGATTACAAATCCTAGAGGACTATTAATATGCCATAGAAGTTCCCTTCAGGGTAAGACATTGTCTACAAAGCAAAGTAGAAAAATTCCCACATCCACAGACAAATTCCCACCCCTACAGACAATTACTCCTTGTCCTTCAACTACCCCCCTCCACCCACCCCAGTCCCTGTGTGAGGTCTAAACACTACAAGGTTGCTTGTAATCAGTAGTAGTAAAATGTGAAATAAGTTGAATCACACCTAAACTGTTATGGACATCTCCTGCCCCTCATCTTTAGTTAATGGCAAAACAAACATCTCCATTCTTTTCTCTACTCATCATGCTCCCATGAGCATAAACGATTTGTACTTTATTCTAGGTTTATAAGAATGTAGGTAGGAGAGGAAGGAGAATAAGTTTCAATGTGAGGGTATAGAACTATAAAGCAAGAGTCTTAACAGAGTTATAGAATGCAGGTTAACCAATTATTTAAAGCAATCAAGTTTGTGGTGGTTGGAGCAGGAGGTGATTTAATAAAATTTTGAATTCTTTGGTAGCCCCTCTGGTGTGACCTCATACTTCAGGCTCTGAACTTCCTGGGAATCTGTAACTGTGTAGTATGTACTATATATCCTTCCAGAATCAGGGCTCTAGATACACTCCTTTACAGTGTGTTAAATTTTCTTTACAATGTACTTCTTTAGAGGAAGAACCTTGGCATGTTCATGGGCCATAATTAAGGAACAAAACTTCTAAAGCAATTCAATCATACAATGATTAATGTGTAATACACGTTAAGTATGTCCAACTAGCTTTAGTAAATCATTCTCTTGCAAAATCTGGCATAAATTTTGGAGCTCAGTCACAGAAACCATCTTTGCTTAGAGTTTTGGCTGATGAGCTATTTCAGCTGAATAGAATAAGAGCATGCTGCATCCTGGTCCCTGAGGCGAGTGCTGCTTCACTCACATAAAACCAGCCGCAAAGGTGTTGGACAGCAAGGGTGCTCCACCCGCGAACGCAGAGCTTGTTTCTCCTAACCAAACCTTCTTGTGGGGTCTGGTCTTCTCAACAACCTATGGAACAGGAAAGTCTCCATGGTAGCTGCAAACAAGCTGACCGAATTGTCGAAGATTAATGATTTTCAAAATCTTGTATTCTCAGACCCATCTGTCCAATATTGTCACAAAGCATGTTCACAGTCATTGAGGTCTTGGGCGATTTACTTTTATTGGAATACCAGGTGTGGAAGAAATGTAAATAATTCCTTTCTTATAGCCTATAAATGCTAATTCTACCAAATGTTAATTCTGGTAGAAGTATTTTTAATTTCTAATCAATGTACATGGGTAAAACCTGAGGCTAAGGGAGACCGAAGGTGCATAAGACTATTCGCTACAATTAGAAAACACATAAATCTGTATACATATAGAATTTAGCACTAGCTAAATGACAGAATAAGGACTCTAGTTTTACATTAACAAGAAAGATTATTACCTGGAAAATTTTTTTCACAGTTAAAATAAAAGTGTCCAACACATCAGGGTTTAGAAAATCTTCTTTGGTAGCAGTTCGTCCATTCAAGTAGTAGCTAAATTATTTAGAAAATATTCAGAAAAAACAACAACCTTTACTTTCTGCTTTTAAGTGAATTGGCTGAGCTTGCTCTTCTTGCTACCTTTTCCCATTTCCCTGTTATAAAAAAAGGCATAAGTTCTACTAAGGAGAGACCTTGACAGACAGGGATCAATTACGCTGTCTGGAGAAGACACAGTCAACCAGTGCAGGTACCTGTGGGTTATGTGTTTTTGGCAGCATATTGGTTTTAGCTATGTATCTGTTCCATGAGTTAAAGGACAGTATGCCTCGATCTTGCAGAAACCACCACATTATTTCAAATAAGCTTAAATTTTTGTTTTGTTAATGTTAAAATTCTACTACAGTGCTGTTTGAGATACTATATGATTCTTACTTGAATTATAAAGTCAATTAGCAGTTAAATGGAAATAATTTTTTGAAAACTAAATTATAAGTAAAGCTAAAAGTACTTTCTTAATATTAAGAACAGGAGACATACCATTAGTAGATGAGTGGATAATAAAAGCGGTGGTACATTTACACAATAGAATACTACTTGGCCATAAAAATGACAAAGAAGGAAATCTTACCCTTTGCAACAGCATGGATGGACCTGGAGATTATTATGCTAAGTGAAATAAGCCAATCAGAGAAAAACAAGTATTATATGATTTCACTCATATGTGGAATCTAATGAACAAAATAAATTAACAAAATAGAAACAGACTCATAGATACAGTGAACAGACTGACAGTTGTTAGAGGGGAGGGGGTTTGGGGGGACTGAGTAAAAAAGGTAAAGGCTTAAGCAAGAAAAAAACCCTCATAGACACAGACAATAATATGCTGGTTACCAGAGGGAAAGGGTGTAGGGGGGAGGTAGAAGAGGATAAAGAGGGGTAAATGGTGATGGAAGGAGACTTGACTTGGGGTGGTGAACACACAATACAATATACAGATGATGTGTTACAGAATCAAGTACCTGAAACCTATATCATTTTATTGACAATTATTGTCAACCTCAATAAATTCAATAAAAAAAGAACAAGAAGAACAAAAAAAGAACAGGAAACACACTTACTGATGCCATGTGACTGAATCAATCACCTCTCCCCCAGCCTTCAGGAAACTACGAACAAAAAAAATTACATTATCACTAAACTTCTCATATACACGATATCTAATACAGTATTTCCTTAGAAAATCTGTCCCAAATCCTTGGTATTCTGAGCCAGTCAATGTTTTCTCTTTTGGTCAACCATGTAGACCGGCAGAAAATTGTTTAATAACAGGTGGACTATTGAAGATTCTACACCACAGAAGATTCTACACCATATTTTAAGACAAATGATTCTGCTGCCTGAGCTCTTACTTCCTCAGCATCTTAACAGTCTTTCCTCGAGGCTGACCAACATCAGGACCATAGAGTTTTGCATTTTTGAAAATGGATTTTCCTAGAAGTTTATGCAGCTTAATAAAATCTTCTCCTAACTGCAATCCATCGATGAAAATACCAGCCTTCTTCTGGAAACTGTTGGGTTCTGAAAGAACAATTTTCAAAATAATTGCTTATGTAGAAATTTCTCATTGGAATGCAAATAGCAGCATATAAAAGCAACAAAGCATTTTTCAAATTATAAAATTTTAGACTCCAAAGTCAAGGGAAGTAACACCTCTATTTATAAAGAAGATATTGAAGAAAAACAAAATTGTGAATTAATAACTGAAGTATGATGGGGTATTAAAACAATTTGAAATTAATAGTGGGGATATTAAACCAATGGATAGTTAAAAAATAATCTGTATCCTGTATTTAATAACCTAATTTGCTTTAAAAAGAGACTGCTTTGGGTGAAGACATTTCAAAACCAGTATCTATAATGCAATTAAAAGTCTTAGTGAAAATGTTTACTCACAAATTATATGTGGAAATGAGCCAAGATATAAAAGCTGAGGAGATGGGAGGGAGGCACACAGTGTCCAAACTACTTCCCAATATAACTTCATTCTGGAAACTAGACCTTTTCTTTGCAAAATGGGGCCCAAGGAAGAGAGACACATGATGATGTCACTCTTTGATCTCACTCTAGAGAGCAGAAGAGTTGGGGATGTGTAAGGTATAAAAGGAGGGAGGGAGGGATGTATGGAGATGGGTAAGGATGGGTCAAGTGATCTAATACTCATATGGTCACTATGGTAAAATTGTTCATAATCTAGCTAAGATACAATACCTCTACCCTTCTATTCTGTTTTTGTGCTCTGAGTTGTCAGTTATCCTCAGAAACTCGATCACAAAATCTGCTTCTAGGCTTCACCATAACACATACCATTGCAGGCATGTATCATTTCTTGGCTTGTTCTCATGCTGATCTGATTCCTTACTCCTAGAGTGGAAGTCTTAAGAGAACAGTGACCTTGTTCTGAAGCTAGACTGCCTGCGTTCAAATCCTAACTTCTTTAAAGTCCTCTAAGAGTTGCATAGCATCACAAAGTTATTTAGCTAACCTCTGGTGCCTCTTTTGTCATCTGTGAAATGAAGGTCATAATTGTATCCACTTCACAGTGGTTAAAAAGATAAATAAGTTAATAATTATTAAATGCTCAGAACAGTGTTCATCATATTACTACATCTCATTTCTCATTTTGTCTTCAGTTCCATTGGCTGATGTGTGGGAAAAGCATTATAAATAGGTTTGAATGAATGTGGTTAGTCATTCACACTTTAGTTAGAATTTAAAAGTTCTTTACAAAAGAGTGAAGAAGGCCCTGGCCGGTTTGGCTCAGCAGTTAGAGCGCCCGCCTGCGGTCCGGAGAGACCTGGGTTCGGTTCCCGCTAAGGGCATGTACCTTGGTTGCAGTTTGTCCCCGGCCCTGGTTGGTCGTGCGGGTGGCAGCCACTCGATGTGTCCCTTTCACATCGATGTTTCTCTCTCTCTCTCTTCCTCTCTCTCCCTCCTACTCTATCTGAACAAAAAATGGAAAAATGTCCTTGGGTGAGGATAAAAACAAACAAACAAACAAACAAAAAAAACACAAAAGAGTGAAGAAGGAGACAATCAGAAGCTTGACTGGGTAGGATTCTATTCTGGGAGCTTTCATCTTGAGCATATCATAGGGTTGGAATGGGGTTGCTGAGATTAACTGACAAGTCAAGAAACAGAGAAAGGAATGGAAGGGTAAAAGCAAACTACCTGCTTTACAGTTTTGGTGAGTCCAGCCTACCAAGCATAATAGGCTTAAGTGACCCTGAAAATCTCAAGGGGACCCTGGGAGCTGTGGAAGTTTCTGGTTTCAATGAGTTGTTCTCAGCTCAAATGTAACATAAACTGGGATTAGCAATGAGTTCTGGGATATACAAAGGAGTTTTCTGCCTTAAGCAATCCAAAGTTGCACTGTTGAATACTGCACAAACATGCTGAACTAGAAATACATTTGCTAATATTAAAAAGAATATCTTAAACAGGAACAAATAACGCCAAAGGGGAATCTCATTAATGAAATGTGCCCAGGGATACTTACCATTGCCTAGTTCCCAAGAAATGTTATAACCCTTGGAAGAGCAGTAGTCCAAGAGTAACTGAGCATTCGAACTATTCCACTGCAAATCTGCTGTTCGTAATAAGGCATTTAGACCAAAGATCAAGTCCAGTCCTGAGCAACTTGCAAAAGTGTACAGTATATCCACTGAGCTTCCTAAAAGAAAAACGTAATTTAATAATTAAGTTGGGACCACAGTGATGAAGGCCTCCAGATTTGTTCATAGTGAATTACTACTTCTGTTGTTAAATCAAAGGAATTCTTGTTCTAATGAGTGACTATAATTATGAATAAGAGACAACAAAATTGGGCCAGCAATAAATAAATAAATAAATAAATAAATAAATAAAACTTCATTTGCTTCAGCTACTGAATCATGTACCATGGAAGGTACCCGAAGTTTTAGTGTGGCACTCAGGTTTTGTTCAAGTGACCGCAGGTGAATTGGAAAAACCATATCGCACCAGCTCAGTGCTCCACATGCACAGGCCAGACCTTCGTTAGTCAGCATAAGCCCTATGCTTCATAATCTAAACATCTTTACTTACAAACTCAGTTACAAAATATTTTGGTAAATTTAATTATATTTAAAACATGTCTTGGAAAAATTCATGTATATGATTTTATTAATTTTAAATACAGTGATACCTCGGTTCTCGAACGCCTCGGTTTTCGACCAAATCGGTATTCGACCAGGAGATTCGAGAAACTTTTGTCTCGGAATCCGAACAAATATTTGGAACTCGAACTTCCGAGATGAGCCGAGTTGAGCCGAATGGCGTTCATTCGGCCCAGCGCGCCTTGCTTGCGTCATCAGTGTGAGTGCAGAGAGAGAGTCACGCTTTGTGGAGTCACGCTTTCCTATTGCTTCGGTTCTCGACCGTCCTCCTGGAACGAATTATGTTCGAGAACCGAGGTATCACTGTAAATAAAATTTTGCATTAAAAAGCTGGCCTAGGGCTGTATAGGGCTGTGGTTTCCAAACTATGTGCCAGGGCACCCTGGAGAGCCACAGTGAATTCACTGGCGTGGTTGTCAGATTTAGCAAATAAAAAATACAGGGCACATTCTGCGACAACATGGAAGGACCTTAGAATATCGTGCTAAGTGAAATATGTCAGACATGGAATATGTCAGACAAGAACCATATAATTTCACTCATATGTGGGATATAAACCTGAAAGCAACAAATGAACAAACAAGAAAAACAAAAACTCATAGACACAGACAACAGTATAGTGATTATGGGATAGGAGAGGTCTGAGGGGGTAGTAAAGGATAAATGGGGTCAAATATATGGTAATGGAAGATGCTTTGACTTTGGGTGGTGGGCACACAATGCAATATACAGATCATGTATCAAAGAAGTATACACCTAAAACCTATGCAATCTTATTAACAATGTCAACCCAGTAGATTCAATAAATAAATAAATAAATAAATAAAATAATACAGGGTATCTGGTTAAATTTGAACTTCAGATCAATAATGAATAATTTTTAGTGTGTGTCCTATGTAATACTTGAGAAATAAAGTAAAAAATTATTATTTATCTGAAATTCAAATTTGACCAGGCAACCCTCCTCACAGGGGCACTGCAGGATCTTTTAAATTTGCAAAGGAACCCTGGCCAGTTTGCTTCAGTGGTTAGAGTGTCTGCCTGCAGACCAGGGAGTCCCGGGTTCCATTCCCGCTAAGGGCACATACCTAGGTTGCAATTTGTCCCCAGCCTTGATTGGGGGGTGGCAACCACTTCATGTTTCTCTCTCTCTCTTCCTTCCTCTCTCCCTCCCACTCTATCTGAAGATAAATGCAAACATATCCTCAGGTGAGGATAAAATAAAATAAAATAAAATAAAAGTAAAAATAAATAAAATAAATTTGCATCCTGGGCTGGTTTGGCTCAGCAGTTAGAGCATTGGCCTGAGGACCGGAGAGTCCCAGGTTCAGTTCCTGCTAAGGGCACGTACCTTGGTTGCAGTTTGTCTCCGGCCCCGGTTGGGGTCACGTGGGTGGCAACTACTTGATGTGTCTCTCTTACATCGATGTTTCTTTCTCTTTCTTCCTCCCTCTCTCCCTCCCGCTCTATCTGAAGATACATGCAAAAATGTCCTCGGGTGAGGATTAAAAAAAAAATTTGCAAAGGAAACACATCATTGTCTGCTGGGCATGATAAGAATTATTACTGTTTGGTTGTTTGGAAATAACCTATGAACAAACTCTTAGGTATTTCTTTTGGGCTAGATAACTGTGAAAAAAAATTACTGAGTCACTAAAGTGCCATAAAAGTTTGAAAACTTTTGAACTCAGCTTTTTAAACTATTAGCTAGTCTATAATCACTTTTTGAGAGTGGCAACAATGTAATTTTTATCATCATTATTATTGTTGTTGTTTTATATTTCTTTTTCTTTTTAAAAAAATCTTTATTGTTGAGAATATTACAGATGTTCTCCCTTTTCCCCCAATTACTCCCCCCTCCACTTGGTTCCCACCCCGCCCCAGCCTTCACCACCTTATTGTCTGTGTCCATGGGCAGTGCATATACACATATAAGTTCTTTAGTTAATTTCTTCCCCCCCAACCCTGAGCTTCCCTCTGAGATACTTATATGATCTCACTTATATGATGACTCTAATGAACAAATAAACGGATGAATAAAATAAAACCAGAGGCATGGAAACGTGGAACAGACTGATGAATCTAGTATTATTTTTAAATCAGTTATATGCTAAATAAGTTCTTGAGATTTTCATGTATATTTGGAGTCACATGTTAAATAGAAATTCACTCTTGAACTCTCTTAGTTTAAAAACAAAATCCCTATCTTTCTGGCAAATTTACATCCTGTCTTCTTAAAAGTGGCTTTGTTTTTTCTTTCTTTTTGTGTCTTCAGCCTGAATTCCTTGGATCACCACTGCCGTGAAACCCTAGATTTAATATTGCTGATAAAGGCTGAGGCAGAAGTGACCCTAAGCAAGCTGCTTTATGTGTTTGATGTTTGCTGTGTCACCTGCTTCCACAAAACTGCTGCCTACTATCAAAAAGTTATTGATAGACACACTGGTGTGCAAAGCTCCCCGAGTCCTGCGGCCCAGCATTCCACTGGATCTTAGAGCCGCAGGTTAGGACAGCAGAGGCCTTTGCGATTATTGAGTCCTCCCCAAACCTCCACACTTATTTTTCTATGAGGAAACTGACACCCAAAGAAATGAAGTGCTTTATCCAATATCATATAGCTCCATGGTGGCAGTGCCATTACTACAGCCTGTTATAAAAGTCCTGGAACTGCCTTAGTCACAACTATGTTTTAGCTATATATATTGCAGAAAGTGTCCTGGGTTAGGAATCGTAAGTCCTGAGCTGCAGGTTCCACTCTCCCACTTACAGACTGAAGGTCTAGGGGTGGGGCGGTGGGACCCCTTGACCCTGTGTGAGCCTCAACTACGGATCTGCAATCCTAGAACTAGTACCATCATCTACCTGTCTCACAAAACCAAGGTTGAAATGACACATGTAAAAACCCTTTGTAAGGCATAAAAATCTCTTTCGGATATAAAGCACTGTTATTGCCTCGCTCCTTTACAGAGATTACGGCATTTTCAAAATACTTGAAATGTTTGCATTTTAGAGTATTCAACTCATACTTGACTCTTCCTCTATTCATTTTTCCAAATGCACTTGGAAATTATGCATCTTCAAATTCTATTATATGTCCCCCATAACATCATAGTAGCATCTTCCAGCATAAGGGCTGTATATTACTGAATTTAAATCCACTCTTTAAAAAAAGCCTACTCCCTCCTCCAAATAACAATAAGAAAACTCACAGCTAATTATCCAACTCCCAGCCATTATCTAATCTCTTATCTCTTTCTATATGAAAGGATGGAAAGAGTACTGGGATAAAGGTAATCTAAATCACATTAAAAATTGGCACTGACTCTTTCCCTGGCATTGTACCATGTATATTTACATAAGTGTGTCCAGCATCCAACTTGGGAACAGGTGGCGGGGGTGGAGGAGTGCAGTAATGAGAAGAGGGTGGAGAAGAGCAAAGAATTAGCTCATTAAATGTGACTATTTTAATGAGTCCTCCTTTCTGCAGTCACACCTAGAATTATACCTGTAACACTGCTTCCTTTCCTGTCCTAACAGGTGTACAGTGGGAGTTTATATTCTCATGATAAATGTGTTTTTTTTTCTCCCACTTAGTGAAACACACCATCCACTGGGTCCTGGGATGAGAAAATTTACTTGTATCTTCTAGGACACCTGTTTTAAGGGCACAGGTCACTAACTAAGCAAAGTGTCCTTGCCAAAATAGACTTTTGCTCTCTCTTCCACTGTATGATGCCACCCCACATTCCTCAGGTGTTCCCAACATGGGTACAGAACAATGTATGGAAACTCCTACTGGCTTCTGAGACACTTAGCACTGTAATGAGTTGGTGCCCAGAATGAACACAGTAGATGCTTGCAAGACATGCAGACTAAAATAAAAAATTTCAAACCAGAAGTCAAATGTTTCCAAATACAAATAAGCTATCTGTATTTTTTATATGTTTTCACATTGCCAAGAGAGTACCTGGAGTTATACTGACCCAGTTACTATGCAGTTAACACAGGGACTTTCCTCTGGTGTAGGAAGTATGAAGGGTCCCAGTGTGACAGGCAGGAAAAGATGTTGGAATCCTACCATTTTGGTTCCAGAAAGATCATGTGAGAACAAACAGTTGTTTTTTTTTAAATTGAAGATAAACTGGCATACTGTTTAACATGATAAAAAAAAAAAAGTGGGAATGTGTAGATCACTTAATGCTGTGGGGTCTTCTCTTAGCAGGCCTAAGAGAATATCATAAAGATGTATTGCAAATGAGACCTTACTGCTGTAGGTCTCTCTGTACTTCTGTCATTCCTTTAATGGGATCTGAGGTGGCCCTGCCTTATCCCAAATCCCATCCAACCATAGATCACGTTACTAAAGCATCAGAGTAGTCCCTCTCCAATTTTAAAATGCAAAATTAATTTAGAGAACTACATTATCCATTGGCACATAACATATTTTCTGATTTCTTATGTGTTGCATGTTTTTTCTGTATCTTACAAATTTAAAAACAACATAAAAATTAAAAAACCCAAGGGATACACTGAAATCTAGATAGTACACAGTAAAATCTTATGAAGATAACTTACTTTCAATAATGTACTTTTAGAAATGCTGACCAATCCAAAGCAACTTCAAGATAATTTGTTTTTCAAAAAGAAGACAGTTGTAGACTCTCTGAGCAGGTTATTTCTTTAACTGAGATCTGGGGCAGCATCATCCCTTTGGAGGGTATAAAACACCAACGTTCAGATAAAAATATATTTCATAGTTTGTTTCAGTTGCTTTGAAGCCCTGTGTGACAACATCATTCCATTCTGAAGACTGAAAAATTGTTTCAGTGAATGGAAATAAATTCCTGGTTAGTTGGAAATAAATTCCTGTGTGTGCAAAGCCACAGAGAAAGGAAAAGAGAAAGCTGCATGATGGCCAAGGCTGTATGGTATGACCCAAGATTCCCCCGCAGAATGATACACCAACTCATAATAGCGGTTGCTTCTGGGAGGGGAGAGAAAATGGACAACAAGGTGTGTTTCCATATTCTACTCTTTATAATTTTGTATTTCACTTTTACAGGACAAATGTATCCATGTCTTCCTTGATTTCCTAGTTCTTGCAGGGAAGTTAAGGTTATTATTAGCTTCTGAATGAATTATATTTTATTCTGTGGCTAGTAGGCAAAGTCAGGTGAAGAAAAAAAACAACCCAGAAGTTAAGGGTTCAAGCTTTCCCATGAACTCTTGATAACATCTGAATATTATGCTGCTTTATACAACTGCTGTAAGGCTTATTAGATCCAAGCCCAAGTTCAAGCTATTCAAATATTTTAGGGTCTGGGACACCGTCAGGGTGCTATTCATTTCTTACTTGAGTAGGTGCTGTTCTTGAACCTTTTGTAATACTGTTCTCTGAGTAGCAATTGCTCCTGGAATGGCCATTCCAACTGTAACTTCTTCTCTATATCAGAAGGGATGAATCCAGATTTGCAAATATCTGCAAATGGAAGATAATTTAAAGAATTTATTTTCACAGTGATAAGGCTGAAATCCCATACATTTATTTAGTTAGATACTTATGTGATGAAAGCAGGATAATTAAGTTTCTAATTATTAGATATGTGATCAAAGAAGTTAGGTTCTGTTTCAACGAGTCCAGTTTACTGGCTAACCAGTCACCATGAAAAAACAAAGGGCAGCTTTCCTAAGAAACTTGGGCTATACACTGGCCATAACTTCAAGTTACTTTACAATTTGGAAAGCTCCTCAGAGAACTTGAAATGACCAGAGAATCCCCTGAAGAAACACAGTTCAGTTTCCTTAAGGTTCACCTTCAGAACACATGGAACTTGGTTTTACATGGACTATATCTGATTTGTGGCAATTTTCTCTTGCCGTAGTGATAGAACAGGAAATGTTGAAGTTTTTCCTTCAAATTCAGTGTCTTCAAAGCTTCTGAGAACACAGCATGTGCACTTGGAGAACCCCCCACCCTCCTTTCAGGCAGACTGTGCTTCTTTGTCACAAGACAACAGGCCTGCCAGGCACTTGCTGCCAACCTGGCTGACCCACCAGCGACTTTCTTTCTGGGAAGCTGCACATTCTGGCTTTCTGGCAGCCAGTGCCTTATCCATCCCCATGCTCACAAAGGATGTTTCAGAGGCACTTGGATACCTCCAGTGACCCCCCCCCACCCCCGAAACGGATGAAGAAAATTGATCAGCAAAGGACAGTGTCTGGTCTAAATTTATGAGACCTTCTGAATGCACATGACTGGTGGGAAAGGGCCAAGTTTAAACATGAATCATTCCAGTGTGTTATTCCAAAAACCTCCTCCTTGTTTTCATTTTTCCTAATTGCTATGATATCAATTTTGACCCAATTACCGGTTAACTGTTCTAAATACTTCCTAACTGAAGAAAATAAAGGGAAGAAAAATATGTAATATATGAAAAATAAAACATTATTATTCATTAAGATATACATTATACATACATAATTACCATTCAATAATGTATATATTTAAAATAATTGTTAAGATAGTGATTCAACTTTCATTTGATGTCTGTATAACACTTATGAAAGACATGGGACAAATTTTCATGGCTTCCTGGGGCAGGTTTCTCAGGTGAAGCCCACAACTTCCCATATCAGAACTACTTGAGGAACATGCTAAACCTGGAACTAAGGTGGGGGCCCAGGTGTCCAAATATTCAAACCCACTCTAGGTGATTATGTATAGCCAACAAAGTTTGAGAACCACTGCCCAATAAGTCAGGTCTTAAAATCTATCCTTGGATCTATTCGTCCTCTTCCTATACCTTTCATCCACATTCTATTTCCAGAATAAAATGGTTTCAACCCATTGCTGGAAATACCCTTGTCAGTTTGAGGCATCTCTACCTAACATGCTCTCTCCAAGCAGCTCTGTCCTTCGCTCCTGTCATTGTTCTGTTGACACACGTGAACTCAGCTATGCCTAGCTCACCTCTTTCGGGGAGGTCTCACATTTCACGAAAGCACCAGGAGAAGGAAACCTGCCCACTGCTTCCTTCTTTTGTGCAGATGCCTCCCCAGGTCAGCTGGGAGCCCTTAATCTCTTATTAAATGCCCACGACTGACTCAAGTTCATGAAAATACATAGTTAATCTTTAAAAAGTTTCACCCTGGTTGAATTGGGATTGCCAGTAACTTCTCTCTTCAACGCTTGGCTCCTTCTTGGGATCGAAAATGAGAAAGTCTGTCTTGGTGCCACCAAATCTCAGGTATGCAGGAGACAAACCTCTGGCCAAAGTGCGAAGCTTTGGGGAACTGTTAGGAAGACAAGGAAGACATTAAAATTATTTTTTCCAGGAAAATCTGATCAAACATGTTTACTCTGTCTTGGTGGACCTGCTTCTTCAGGTCTAGCTGTACAGGCCTTGGCGGAAGCAGTCATGTTGCGGTACGGGAATCACCTCAATCTGAATCTCTCCAGTTGCAAGGTTGCTCTTCCAGGCGCCTGGAGGCAGCTTGGAGCTCTGACTCTGGCCAAAGCAGGATAGTGTTTAGCTCTTTCAGAAAACTCATCCGTAACCTGTTATGACTGTCGGAGGGAAAGAGGTAAGAGACTGGAAAGTACAGGAAAGATGACTTTGTGTTTTTTGTTTTTGTTTTTATCCTCACCCGAGGGCATTTTTCCATTTTTTGTTCAGGTAGAGTGGGAGGGAGAGAGAGGAAGAGAGAGAGAGAGAGAGAAACATCGATGTGAAGGGACACATCGAGTGGCTGCCACCCGCACGACCGACCAGGGCCGGGGACAAACTGCAACCGAGGTACGTGCCCTTAGCGGAAACCGAACCCGGGTCTCTCTGACCGCAGGCCGATGCTCTAACTGCTGAGCCAAACCGGCCAGGGCGACTGACTTTGTGTTTCTTTAAAAAATAGATTATCTTCAAAAATTTATATTCCCACAGAAGTTCATAAATACTTAGGATTCCTCCTTGTCTCCCTAACCGCCCCTTCCACAGGAGAACCATCCTTTTAAATCGAAGTGATATAACTTAGAATTATATAAGATTGCAATTCCTGTCATTGATACCTCCAATTTGAGCAATTCTAAATGCATATCTCATCAAGACAAAAATGCTCCTGATCGGTGCCTATTATATGCTCAGAATGGTACCAAGTGCTATAGAATGACATCAGAATAATTGATAACCCCTTCCCTCAGAAAGATGATGTCATGAATATTTAAGTGAACAAAACCAAGAAAATAGAAGACCCAGGTTGCAGGGACCCCTGCCCTACATTTCTGAAGCCTCACACACGTGTTCCTGGCCACACTGCTTCCTGGAATGCTCTTCAAACACATAAAATCAATGCTGCGTCATTCTCAGATTGGCCTGACTTTAGTTAATATCTGGATTTATTTCAAATAAAAAAAAATCATTCCAGGAAAACTATCTAATTGCCAATACTTCTAACATCCTAGGAATTAAAGACCTAACCTAAAATTAAAAATTTTAAGATGTTCTCCCGCTTAACTACACATAGTGTTATGTAAAATTTTTGAAAGGTTTATTTATGCTTGGGAAAGAGAAATTAAAAGGTGGAAATTGACCAAAGGATAAGTCTCCTGCATTAAAAAACTTCAGTCATTCCTCCTCACCATTTTGTTGGTTGGTTGATTGGTTGGTTTGTAACTAGACTTTTTACTATACTATATAGGCATTTTTTTCCTTCCTGGCTTCACATGATTTCACTTTATGTGGAGTCTAGTGAACAAAATAAACTGATGAACAAAATAGACCCAGAGACATGGAAGCAGGGAACAGACTGAGGAACTCAGAGGAAGGGGGGAGGGAAGAGATAAACCAAAGAACTTCTATGCATATATGCACAATCAATGGACACAGACAACAGTGTGGGGAAGGCAGGAGGGGGGTGGGAGCAGGGAGGAGGGGGTCAATGTGGGGGGGAAAGGGGGAACATCTTGTAATACATTCAACAATAAAGATAAAATAAATAAAGATATATACCATGTTTGAAAAATAAAGATACATTTTAAAAATCATAAAAAACATTTTAAATTATACTTCATTATGCTATTTATTTATTTAAAGACAAATATGCTGATATTATATATTAAAACATTTTCTTTGACCTAAAAGTTCATTTTCTCTGCATCTTAATAGAACTTAAAATATTTTCAGGGGCCCCTAAACCTATGCGGATCCCAGCACAAGGAAATGCAACCCAAAGTGAGCCTTCAGAAAGGTCATAAACCTGGATTCACCTGACAAACACCTGGCAGCCCCAGAACTCTGGGAGGACAGCATCTGCCATGGGATCCTCAAAACCATCAGAAAATATGCGGAAATGCTCACTTGGACTAAGTAAGGATTCAGAAGAACGCCAATTCTACTTTGTTACAACCCCGAATAAAAATAGGGGTAGGGAAGAGATTAGCCAAAGAACAGGTATGCATATATGCATAGCCTATGGACACAGACAATAGTGTGGTAAAAGCCTGGGGAAAGTTGGGGGCTAGGGAGAGAGGGGTGGAAAATGAGGGATATCTGTAATATTATAAAAATAAACTGTAGGGAACCCAGACAGTGTGGCTCAGTGATTGACCGTCGACCCATGCACCAGGAGGTCACCAGTTCAATTCCCAGTCAGGACATGTGCCCAGGTTGTGGGCTCAATCCCCAGTGGGGGGCATACAGGAGGCAGCCAGTCAATGTTCTTTCTCATCGATATTTCTCTCTCTCTCTCCCTCTCCCTCCCCCTCTCTCTAAAATCAATCAATAAAATAAACAAACAAACAAACAAACTATAGGGAGGGGGACTAGAGCAATGGGCACAGCGTTTCAGTTTGGAAGATGAAAGTTCTAAGGCGGGTGGTGGTGATGATTGTACAACAATGTGAAGGTACTTAATGCCAGTGAACTACACACTTACAATTTTTTTTTCTGTATTGATTTTAGAGAGAGAGGAAGGGAGAGGGAGAGAGAGATAGAAACATCAATGAGAGAGAACATCGATTGGCCGCCTCCTGCATGCTCTCCACTGGGGATCAGGCCCATAGCCTGGGCATGTGCCCTGACCTGGAATTAAACTGGCGACGTCTTGGTTCAGTTCCTGGCCCTGGTCGGGGTCATGCAGGAGGTAACCAGTAGATGTGTCTCTCTCACATTGATGTTTCTCTCTCTCTGTCCCTTCCACTCTATCTGAAGATAAATGGAAAAATATCCTCAGGTGAAGATTAAAAAAAATGAAATACATTTCATTTGCAAAATGTAATAAAATCTAGAGAAGACACCCTGTATACATATTTTGGGACACCCTGTATTCATTGCAGGCCCAACATTATGCTGCTGTTCACATGTAATTTATAGACTAGTGATATAGACAAACAGGTAAACTAGCAATTCCAAAACAGTGCTATGAGAACATACAAAATGGATCCTTGCCCAGACTTTGGGCTGGGGGTAAAGGGTGGTTATTGGTTTTCCAGGGGAAGTGACTTCATAGTCAGACATTTGAAAGGAATAAATCTTATCCAGATCAAAGACAGTGAAGTGAGATCAAAGGAAGTGTTTTAGGTGTAGGGGAAAGTCTGTGCAAAAACCAGAGGCAGAAGAACATGCGGCACCACTGAAGAGCTGACAGGTGTGGCCAGAGCCTGGAGACTGGGACAGGGCGACGCTGGGAGAGGCTAACCGGCCAGCCAAGCAGGCCCGCATCACGGAAAGCCTGTAAGCCCCATGTCTAAAAGTTCCAACTTTGTAGGAGAGCAACGGGGAGCCATGGAAGGATTGAAAGCAGCGAAGGGACCGCACCAGACTTTTATTTTAGAAAAGAATCTCAGCCTGCAATGTGAATAACTGAATAGAAGGACCAAGACTAGTCATGTTAATGCAGACAGAAAGTAATGGGCTGAGGTAAGGTAACAGCAGTGGGGATGGAGATAAATGGATAAATTCAAGAGACATATGGAGGCAGAAATATCAGATTTGGTGCTTAATTGGCTGTTGGAGAAGAGTCAAGGATCACTCCTGGGAAGCATCTTGAAAGAAGGTAATCTCATTTGCTGAGATGAAGAATAGAAGGCAGTTGGGGATAAAGGGGAAGGGGGACTCGGTTTTGTAGAGTTTGAGATACCCTCTCAGCCAGCTGAAACATATTTCCACCAGGCCCTTGGCCCTGTGTGTCTGAAGTTCAGAAGACACACAGGTGAGGTATAGGATGGAGAGTCCTCAGTCTAAGAGTCAGTGACTAGTAACCCCGGCCCAGAGGTGTGGAGACATGGCCCTAAAACTGGTCCAAGGAACTTCCTCAGAGTCACTCCAGGCTGACCCTGTTCCCCCACCTTCGGCCAGGCACTGATTCTAGTCCTTGATTGTGTTTGATGACAGAGGAAGCTCATTTACATCTGTGTTGCTGGTGTTTGTAAACTGGGAGAGGCTGGGGGTTTCTGGGAAGTGGAGGGGAAACTAGCAGCAGGTAGAAGGTGCTGTGGCATCACTAGATGTGCACATGGGCATGGCCGGTCTGCTGAGTCCAGCGCCTAGTTCCCAGTGGTAGGGACTTGGGTCACCTCACTCGTGATTACCTTCACCCTTCCTTGTCTCCTTGGTTTACTGTCTATCCCAGTCCCCACCCCTGAGGTGAGCCCTGAGAAAGCATGAACCTTATCTGTGTGTCTCATCAGGATCTTCACTGTGCCAGAGAAGCGGTTAGATGAGTACCTGGCACACAGCAGGTGCTTAAGAAGTATTCGTCAAGTGAATGAACAATCGAGTCCAGCCTGCTGAATGGGCAAGTGACGCCAGACAAAACCTGTTTTCTGGACAAAATTAAAACCCAATGGAATGGCTCCTGCCAAGGAAAGGAAGTCACGTGTTTCAGAGTAATGGTATTCAGGACCTTTCTGTTTGTCTCCTTACCATGGAACATTTTCTGGTTTTGTTTTGAGAATACAACACTGATGCCCTCTGACAAAAACCAGATTGAAAACAGCTGCAAAACATGTCATAAAAATAAAACAGATCAAAGGTATTTCCGTCACATACAGGAAAAAGAAAGGGAGAAAAGTCCGCCGCCGCCACAGTGACACGGAAATAACAAAAGGGCACATAAAAGCAACCGCAGATATCCCATTTCTGGAACAATCTTTTAGGTGAAAGAGAAGTCTGCAGGTATTTTTTTACTACCTTATGTGTGAAAATAAGTTGCTTATGTCTGACTCAAAAGCAAAGGTATGCTGGACCGGCTGGCACTGGCTCGCACCGGCTTGTGAGAGCCAGTCGTTACGTTTTGAGAAC